TTTTTTTGACCTAAGTGATAAGGGTAGTGACAGATATTACGTAATATTCTGAGGGGGGAGGGGGTCTTTGATATCTTATGTTTGATATATAAATTTATAATAGCCAATCAAATTTCTCTTACGTTGTGTATCGTAACGGTTTAATGGATGCTTATCTTTTAAATAATAAAGGTCAAGTTATAGATACGACAACAAATCAAACTAGAGTGAGTTAAGATATTCTGATGATTTTGTGTCTTCTTTTTGGCGAGACGCAATCTTTAAGATATTTCGGTCAATAAACAGATGAAACATAATCCTAACGCTCGTGGTGATATTTATAAAATTGGACAGATCCTTAATGCTACTGGTGCAGATTTAGATTGTAACGTCGATTTTCTTTATATTTGTCTCTGCTTATTTGTGGATAATGATAGTTATTATTATTATTATTATTATTACTGTTTTTTTTTAAATTCTAAAGCCGCGAACATGACTTATAGGAGGAATGGAATAGTAATTGTCATTTTAATTGACTATAACAATCAAGGGGTAATGTTCAAGAAATTTTAGAAATTTCATACAAAATAATCATTTATTGACAACTCTATCTTTTTTTTTTAGATTTTTAATGATAAAATATTTTATCGATATATACCACAAAAACTTGATGGTAATGGATATAAAATCATTCAAAGTATTCACGAAATTGATGGATCTATTACTTTGGTTACTAGACACGGGTAAAATTTGTTATCTTTATTCATTAATTTATAATTATTTTTTTACAATTTTTAAATTTTTAATGTTGATATAGTATTTGTCTTGTATTTCAACAATCTGGATTAATTGGGCAATCCGATTTTCTATCTTTTATTTTATCCTTTGCTGCTAGTTATGCGATTTGCGTATGTATCATTCAAACTTTGATAATTCTTGCAATGTTTAAAATATTATTTATTATTATAATAATGATTATGCTTTTTTAATAATGATTTTAAATATAGAAATTTGTAGAATTTGTTCTTGAATTCATATTCGCGGTTTTGAGTCTGTCATACCAGTTTTAACCAAATTGTTGTAAAATCATGTACTTGCGAAAATATAGATTTGCGAAGGTTGGATCCCTGATATGAATAAAAATAAATAAATATTGTATTTAAGAGAAATGTACATCATTTATCAATGAAAAGAATGAATAAACTAGAAGAAATTTTATTTCAAATTTCCAAAAGGATTTTTGCAAAACGAACGTTTGTTTTGAAATTTCCTGATCGTGTTACGTTACACCAAATCACAATCAATTATTGGCTAATTTGCTGTCGATCATCACGTGGGGGTGAAATTTTTATGGCGATACTGGGGTAGTTTGGCTTTAGACGACCCCCTTTAATAAACTTCTCACCCCTATTTGTAGATCTACATGAGTTTTCTTACTCTGAATTTTTAATAATGAAAGTGCGTGTTTATTTTCTTTTTATGAGATAGAAGACTAATTTCGGA